CTGGAGCCTGTATCCTCAATACCCTCAATTCTGCTAGCCTCTTGTGATAAAATAAGTTAATTTTCATTAAAGCAATTCACTGTGGTATTTCTGCTATAGCAGCACTAGATAGCTAGCTAAACATTTGGTACTGAGAAGTAGGTGCTACTCTGACAGATACTAAAATGTGAAAGTGGTTTTGGAATTGAGTAATGATAGAGCTGGAAAAGTGTTAAGATACCTAACGGTGAAAGCCTCAATTGCTTTGAAGAGACTGTTGGTAGAATTATGGGCCTCAAAAGCAATTCTGGTGAGGGTTCGGAAAGCAAGAGACAAAAATCTCCCCCTTATTTGTGTGCCTGGGAAGGCTTTAAAAAGAACAACGAACATGCCACTGGGTAATGGAAAAAGGGTGATGCTTTTTATGCAGTGGCAAAGGATTTGTCAGAATTATTTTAAAATATCTGGTGGAAGACAATCTGTAAGCAATAGACTTCAGTATATGGAAGAGCCCTTGAATTTACTTGATTGGCCAGCCTAAGAGAGCTTTCTACTCAGTGTGTAAATCAAGCACCATTTTTTATTATATTGGCAGATCTGGGAAAAAAAAGCATTGGAGTTAAAGCCACAGTAACAGGCTAATCTGCCCTGAATCAGGGAGGATGGGGAGAAAGGCAGGTCAAACTATAGCTGCTCTCCCAGTGTTTTGTACAAGCTGTCCTTCTCCTTAAAAGACTAAGTAAAACGATTTCTTAAAAAATGATTGCGTAGACAGGGCATAAATTAACTGATATATGATTTACAGTTACTAACGCATGGTTAATTGTTAGTGTTCCTAACCTCCTTTATAAAAGTCTTCCTAATTTTCTGTGCTTTGGAGCACTTCCAGTTTAACAAATTGCTGCCCAACTGCAGCTGTAATTCACCTATAATAAATATATTAACTTTTTCAGAGACTTGGTTTTGTTCAACTAGTAACTCTATATTTCTAAGTAAGATTTTAAAGGGGTTTTGTGGTTTCTCTTCAACACTTATAGTAAAATACATGAGAGAGATGTACTTGCAAGATGAAAACAAACCCTAAAGATTGAAAAAATTCTGTTCAACAAACTAAGGGCACATGCTTTAGAAGGTTCATGAAGAATGTGCCCGATCAACCACAGTAGGAAACTCATCAGTTTAGACTGAAGAGACTAAGGAACTGAAGGGAAGCATGTTGTCTGCCTCTTGGAACCATCTAGGCAGGTTCAAAGATCTGCTATTTTCCAAGAAAAGCATCTCTAAACAGCTCAGAAATCAGCAGAACCTGGTAGCACGCAGGAAGCAGTTTCTTGGTTTCAAAGGGTGGGGCCAGGATCTCCTGGATCTTAAAGGGAGTAGTCACTGTCTCCTCTGCTTCAGAGTCAGATCCTGGCCAACTCAGCTCTGGAGTGTGAGGCTTTCACTAAGGTGTGTCAGGGGACTTCGAGTACCATCTGAAGTTTAGAGATGGGCCAGCCGTGAACAAGAGACAAAAGAACAGGGCCTACTAGGGAAAACTCAGATGGTCTAGGAATACAGTGTTACCCAAAAGTGAAGCAGCAGGATTGTCTTCCCAGGAAGCCTGAGAGGTAGATTTGAAGTCCCGAACTAAGCAAGCTCAAAGTAGGGTTACTACCTACATGGTCTCAGAGAACCAAGGGTTATTTTGAAACTTGAAAGTGAATGCAAATCTTTGTACAATGGGTAGATTATGGAATCGTGTCCCCTCAAAATGTGTTGTGAATCCTGATCTCAGCGTGTGTGGGTATAATCTCATTTGTGCCTAGGTCTTTCTTGTGTTAAGGAGACAGGGTCAGTGTAAAGTGAATCCAGTTAATCTCTTTGGAGATATAAAAAAGTGGGCATTTCAGAAACAAAGATGGTGGGAAGAGAGATGCCAAGCATGAAGACCTCCCAGGAGAAGTGCAAAGGAGCTAACACCTTCTTCCAGAGCCATTAAAAAATGTCTCCTGAGAATCAGCACCCTGAATTCAGGCTTCTAGCCTCCAAATAGGTGAGGAAATAGTCTCTCATTTGAGCTATTTCTGTTATAACAACACTAGATAATGAGGACAACCCCCTAAGAGTTGCTATGACTATTCGTGAATATATAGGAAACTCGTAACAGTAACTGCATCTTGGTACCATTATGCCAACATTGTACACACTGGCTTTCTTCTTCATCAAACTTCTTAAACATTTTTCTCCTCTGCCCTACCTCCCATCCTTTACTTGGCTGTTTCCTTCACTTACTACATCTCCAAAATTGGGATTTGTCAAGCCTAGCTCTTTTTTGTTCCCTTTTCCAACTCACCAGGTATAGCAAAAGCACAGTGGACAAGAGTTACACTGCCTTGTGAAGAATGTCTTTTAACTGCAGACCGAGCACCCTGTAAGTCACTGGGCAGGCATTCCACAAGTATTTGTGAGATGATCACACAAAAAGGGAAAAACTGAAATGATATAAATGACACCGTTTTAGGCACATGAAGTGGCTTTCAATCTGGTAAAGATTTCCTGAGAAAAAGGAAATTTCCATCTTCCATCTGCTTATCTACCATTCTGGTTGTTCTATATGATTACTCTAACTCAGATGTTATCCGATACTGGTTCCACATGGAGATGAAAAGACCCTCTCAGTCAAAGACACATTTCTGGAAGAAGGCAAAACTAAGTTTAAGTAGAGGTCTCCTTTCGATATACCATCAACAATCAGTGTGGAACCATGACAATTCATTGCCATTTGCCTTCAGTAAGATTGTCCACTAAGATCTACATGGATGGGAGGTTCTGTGTGTATGAATAAATGGAGGATTATATTTGCTTTTATGGCATTAACTTTACATTGTAAGGAAAATACATATTCAGATTATATTATGGTATGTTTTCCAAAAATGGTTGTGTTGAAATTCAGTAAAACTGGAAATTTTTTTTCCATTACAAATACTAACATGATATATAGGGAAATAAAAAAAAAAAGTAATTTTTTCTTTACTTAAAGAGAAAAAAAATACAACTGATGGTTTTGAACCTTTAATCAAAGTAAAAAAAAAAAGTGAATGCAAAAAGGAACACATGTTGAAAACTTAGTATGAATGTGAATCTCACTAGATGTTCAAATCTGGCATAGTGCAAAGTTTGTTCTTACTAATTTACATTTTTACAAACTCAAATCACTTTGGTTCATACACTTGCTATAAATTATTGGCAAAAAGATTCTTCAGATTCACATTTTTTCCCTAAATTATTTCTAACATTTTCAGCTGAAGAGAAAAAAACACACCACTTATTGTTTGTGCATGATCAAATATGTCTTTAAGATTCATCCACTCTTTTCATCAAAATAATTTCTGGGTTTTCATATAATGCTGACATGTTCACTGTAAATTTTTTTTACATAGCTAATCATTTCAAATTTCAAAAAATTTCTAAAAGATCATCCCAGGTTTCAGAAAAACTCCACTTTCTTTTAAGCAAATTTCGTCTTTTAAACAAATTTCCTCTAAAGCAAACTCCTTGAGCAGCCTACAATTTACTCCAAGATGTCTTCCTCAGAACAAAGCAAAACAACGCCAACAAGAACCATTGCAAAACAAAATCAAATACATACTTCAACACTCACAGGCAAATTAGTCTACATTTCCATTCTGCTGACTGGTGGCTTCCATTTATATTTTCATTAATATTAAAAGGAGAGTCTTTTAATCAAGCCACTTGAACAGAATTTAAAACCAACCAAAAACATTTAAATTGCATAATACAAAAAAACGTAAATTTGTAAGTAAAAATTAAAGGTATACTAAAACCATAAAACTGGAGTATTTCAACAGACAGGGTTCAATGGAAGGTACAATAAAGAAACTTTACGGCTGAAAGAAATTATTGCTGAATTTTGCCTTCATGCAGTGCTGAAATGAATGCAGAACCCCTCTCTTTAACATCTTGTACATTAAAAAAAAATAAATATTTAAGAGAATAGAAGGCTCAGATTGGTTTTCATATACATTGCACTTGAAGTTTAAGACCCAATGCTTGCAAATTAGGTCTAAATGGTCTATGCCATTAAATGAATACATTGTGCTCACCAATATAATTGACTATTAGAAACACCAAATGTTCAATGTAGTGACATATGCACTCTTTTTTTTACAAGGCAATCACAGATTGCAAATTCTATAGGGCTGTGAAAAAAAAAATTGAGTCATCTCTATTCTGGAATATCAAAGAAATCGTTTTGGCTAAGATTGAAATACATAGCAGAGACTGTTCACATTCAGGTTACAATTTCACAAACTGAGGTGAACACGTCAACAATCAGTGTAGAACCATGACAATTCATTGCCATTTGCCTTCAATAAGATTGTCCACAAAGATCTGCATGGCTAGGAGGTCCTGTGTGCGAGGAGGTGAATGTGAACTTGTGTTTTCCACACCACTGAGGAGGGGAGGCTCCCGAGGCCAAGCTGCTGTCACCCTACTTAAAACACACGGTAGCCCCCCATCACACTTTGCTTCCCCCCTCTTCTTTTTTAACACAACCCTATTTTTTAAAACTTTTGGATAAATATTATTCTTATTATATCATATTTATCTTTGTTAAGCACCATCAACTTGTCTCCTTTGGGCACTGATACAAAACCAACAGGTGATCATTAAGTTTTAGTTCCAGGCTTCAAACTATGGCAACTTGTTTTTAATAACATAAAGGACCTCTAATACTTGGGGATCTGCCCTTGGCCTGAACTATTCACAGCCCTCGATCACATTTTTCCACAACACAGACAGTCTGTGTTCAATGAATCCAGATCAGATTTCAAGATAAGTAATTACGGTTTCCACATCACTATTCTAAAATAGGTGAATACTTTCCCAGGAGTCAACTGGATAGTCAGCCCAATCTAAAGAGTTCATTTAGAAAAAAGCTCATTGTTGTCACAATCCATTATAATTGATGTTCTTCTCAAGTTGTGTTTATCTTCATAATCAGTGGGTCTCAAGAATCAATCACTATGTGGCTTTTCAGGAACACCCTATATAGAAAACGGAGAGGGGATAAAAGAGAGAGACTTCAATGAGCATTCAAAATGTGAAACTGGGTTTTAATGAGTGCTATTACACAACTGCCTTTTTCAACTAATGATACATTCAAAGAAAATCACTGCATCTTAATAATCAAGTATGATGTGAAAGGTAAAAGATTAAAAATTCACGTGACTGATGTAAGAACTGGAAAAGAACTGGAACAAAAGATTAGAGCTCTAAATGGACTAGCTGTATAGTCTTAAAATTGTTCAAGTTCAAAGCTCTATAGTTCTCTTAGCTCTTACAATTAAGAATTAGTCTCTCAAATGAAATAATTTTATAAAAAGTGTTCATTCAGATAGATCACTAAGCAAGCATAAGGTATTACTGACAGTATGCCTAACAGATATACAAAAGAAACAATTCAATTTAATAAAACCTAGAATGATGGTCATGGTATGATAGGTACTCCTAGAAGTTGTAATTTAAGTTCATTTATGTGAAGAGAGATAGCTGCTATAAATTTGTATTAGGATCTGATGCTTCTACTAGAACCTATTTTACTAGCAGTGTGATAAAAGAGATATTTGAAATAGGCCACATTTTATAATATATTGTTTGCTGTCCTGTTATTCTCTCATGAAACAGATCGTGGATTCAAACTTCAGGCCTTTGGGTTGGCAGTGCAACTACTTACCCACTAGAAAACCAGCACTTTCTACTCTGCATAGTACTAAATAATAATAACACTTCCATACCTTAAATTTATGTAGAGCTGTTATTTACAGTTTAGAAATCCTTGCTAACAGTTCTTTCCCATTATATTATCTTAAAAATCTTGTGAATGGATTCTGTAATAAGTTCCACATGCCAGATACTGCATGACAAGCTCTAATATATTGTTGTTATGTGGCACTGGGTCACTTGCGACTCACAGTGACCCTATGTACAACAGCTCTAAACCCTGCTCTATCCTGTGCCAACCTTATTGTCTCTGCCACACCTACTCCCATTACCCCTGCCACTGGATGGATCCATCTTATTGAAGGTCTTCCTGTCTTATGCTGTCCCTCCACTCTCCCAAGCATGTTGTCCCTCTCTAAGGACTGGTCCCTCCTTGCAACATGCCCAAAGTAGGTCAGATGGAGCTTCAGAATTCTTGTCTTCAAGGAGCAGTCTGGTTTTACCTCCTCCAGGTCGAATCTGTTTGTTCTCCTAGCAGGTAATAAGCTCTAATATAGAATGAATTTCTTTTGTTGCTGAAGAAACAAATCTATGGAGATGAACAATCTCCTCCCATGCGATTAAATGCCTCTGAAAACCCGCTGGAGGACAGTTACAGTTAGGTTTCAACTTGGTACACCACTATCACCATCACAATAACCAGGAGAAGAAAGATTTTGTTCCTAAGACCACAAAAGTACTAAAGAGCAAGAGGAATGTTGGTGAGAATATATTTTATTCCCCGAATCTAATGTCTTTCCATTTGATTAACTCTCCCCTTTTAGGCAATCCAAATCATGTATTACGATGAAGAACTTGAATGTTAAGATTACTGATGTAGAAAATGATAAGAACTCACTTAAACAGATAGGCAAGAAATTCAGGGAGCTCTGGTGGCCTGCTGATAAGAAACTGCACTTGTAACCCTCAAGGCCAGATGCTCTGTAGGTGAAGGATGGGCAATCTTCTCCTGTGTGACTGCTTAACTGCCTCTGAAAATCTGTTGGAGGGTCAGCGTGGCTTGGCTCTGACTCCACAGCACAGGAAAACAGCAAGAAACTTCCCAATGCTTCGTTAAGTCTCCCAGGGCATGCTAATTACTACCCTGGGAACATATTCACAATAAAACATTCTAAACACACACACACCCCCCTTAAAAAACTGATCACTGTAAAGCCTTAACAATTGTTCAGTAAGAAGATTCCAAACAAAGTTCAATTAGACAAGGCCACAAGAGCCAAATATCACTAATAACCTGGAAAGAAAAACACCATCACATTTTACTACTTGTTCACTAAAGTGATGATAAAGAAGTAGAAAACAAGAATTCTGAATGCATGACTGAGGGAAGACTAAAATTAGGTTGGCATTTGTGAGAATACGAATGACTACAGAGACGAGATACCATGATCAGCCTGAGCTGGCTCCGATGGCATATTAAGTTTCATTAGTATTGCTACAGATAAATGGCAAGATGGGCCCATACAGCAAATCTAGTTAAGCACAGTAATAACAAATCCATATCTAGAGGATGAATACTAATCCATGAACTATATATGTTGAAAAGGTCAGTAAGCACACAACCAATCTGGTTCAAGTTCACCTCTGCCACTTGGGGGAAGTGCTTATCTTTCTGACCTTCAATTTCCTCATCTTTAAAATGGGCTAATGGTTTCTACTACATCAGACCATACTGGAAGGATTAAATTGGATAACCATGAAAATGTTAGCCCTCAATGACCCACTGTTGTTACTATGTTAAGTAGCAATCAACTAGGTCAATAAAAGACACAGGCAAACTGAACTCTATGTAGCGCCTGAACTCCAACTTCTGCAGCCAAGGGTTGCTGTGAAATGCTGGACAGTGGGAGGCAGATCTGCAATTTAGGGCTGTTAATGGCATGAAGCCTTACTTTTTTGTAGAAAAGGCTTCAAATAGTAACCAATAAAAAAAATTATAAAATTACAGTTACGGTCTATTTTTATTCCCCAAACACACAGGCTGATGACACATACTTAAAACTGTATATTTTGACACAAATACCACAAGAGAAAACAAAGAAATCGCATCAGAAAAGCTGCTAGAGACACTGAAGTATAAGACTTCCATCTTCTTCAGCACAGTCTTCAGAACCATGGCCACGGAGTCAATTCCAACCACAACGACCCTCCATCAAGTTTCACAAGAGCAGACTATTTTGCTTTTCTCTGGAGAAGTGACTGGGGTTTTCTGACTGCCAACTGTCTGGTTAGCAATGCAACACATAATACACGATGCCACTAGACCTCCTCAGCATAGTCACATATGCTCACAAAATACCTCTTGGCCTATGTGTTGATTTTAAACTAAAAGTTAATCCTTAACTAGTACCCCTAAAATGTCCAGGAAGCGCCATCATTTGTCTAAACAGCATTAATGTCTTCATGTGCCAAAGGCAGCTGTGGGAGGAAAAATAGCAGACACATCTAACACTTCAAGGGGCACAGTCCAAGTAAATGAAAATATGCCACAGAGATTCTTCCATGCTTAAGGAATTGGGCAGTTTTCTGGACTTTAAGGATGGAATTAAGTTTTCCACTTTTGAGTGGAAGAAGAGTCAATCTGCTTTTACAAATCCAATTAACAAGAAAGCTATGAGGATTTGGGTTAAGGATTCTAACTCCTTCTTTAAAAAGAGAAAATGTTTGAGGGGCTCTTTTCAAAGATGTCCTAATTAATTAAGATCCTTTGATAATTCAGAGTCTGGGTAGGTAGTAACATAAATCACAGCCTAAACCTTCAAGGCTCAAAAAAAGTCATATTAGAAGATTAAATACTGCCTACGATTGACAACTTCAGGACACAAACACAAAACCATGCAGACATGGTTGAAAGGGGGTTTTTTGGTTAACTGGACAGAATTCTCAACAGCTCGTAGCTGATTCTGCCTCATTAAGAATCAAAACCCTAATGTGCCTCAAGTAGACATGGCTGGATCCCTCTAAAAGAATTCCATCATCCCTGGTCAGGTGGGGAGGCTTGAAAATGAAAGGTACAATTAAAAACCCATAGTTTGAGCTGACAGTCAATGCTACAGAAACTCAGTGTTTTATACAAACCTTATTATACATCTTTTTTCCATGTTTCTGACACATTCGAGAAGCAAACAAAAAGTACATCAATTCTAGTGCCACGAATATCACAATGTTCGTTCTAGGTACTGCAATCTTTGCTAGTGCTGCAGCATGACTTTTTTGGACAGCATTATTCACTTCCTAAACATGCCTCTGGAAACTCTACGAACTTGAATAAGTGACGATAGTTATAGAAAGGCTTCAGGACTTTTGTTCATAGGATCGCTATGAGTAGTGCTCATCTCAACAGCAATCAACAATTCTGGTGGGCGGTGTTCCAGCTTCAGGTTGGAGTGGAGGAAACATTTCCTTAGTTAGGGGAAGGGGACAGGAGGTCCAAGTCAATGGAATTAAAACGAGATTATTTAATTCTGTTGATGAATTATGGATGTGTGACCTTTCCCCAACTGTGCTCCAAGTGCCACTTTCTATGATTTTCTATGGCTTTCAGGAGAGATTCATTCGTAGTTTGAGGAATGAAAAACAAGATATCAAAGAGGCAAAGGTGGTGGCTCTTGTAAGTGTGGGAATTCGGGGTCGGGGTACAGCAGGGTTAAAGGGGTGGACGAGGCAGAATGGTGGGAAAGGTAGACAAAATGGCTGGAATTCTTCACCTCTTTCTCTGTTATCCACAACTTAATTCTCAGGTTTTGCTCATGTAAAATGATAGTGTCGTTTACTCAAACAGGGTAGTTAGGAGCCAAGGCAGGTTTTATTTGGTGGCAAAGGCACAAGAAGAAAGACGAGAGGCCTGCTGTGGCCTCCAAGTCAAGGCATTTAAAAGAAAACTCATCAGCAAGTCATTTGATCCACCTTATAAATATGTATCCTCTAAATAGACATGATAATCACAATTTCCCATGCAAATTTTATGTCTTGGATTACGTAAGGTTTTTATTACAAAGAAGGTTTTAAAACAAAAGCACACGCAAACAAATTACAAATCAACTTTCGAGAAATCATCACTTCTAACCTGACACGTCTTACTCATCTCAACACACGCCGGCCCTTTCTTACTACAAGTGCTACACACTCATGTTTTCTGCCAGATCAGATTGAATGATCCTTTAAAGCCACTTAAGACTTGGCGCTTTGAGCTAAAGCCTTTGCAAACTCACCTGAGGAAACCTAACAGACGCTACACTCCATCATCCTAGTCAATCTCTTGATT